CCAACATCACCTACAGGGCTGTGGGCTGCAAAGCAGGAAATCTGGATAGGACACCAGGCTTGGAATTTATTTTCATTTCTGCACAAAACTAAAGCTTCTAACACTTTATATAAGGAAAAAGAACCATCCACAGCTATTGGAGCATTTAGGTGCAAAAAGTAGAGGCAAAAGCAAAACTTCCTTCTTGATCAGAAGGAACAGAGAGTTGAGTATTCTACATTTCAGAAAAATAAATAAATAAATAAATAAATAGTTCCACTTTTCAGGATAAATGAAGTTATCTTCTCTTTCCCTCTTTCATTCTCCCCTTCCTCCCTCTTCAAATACAAATATTTTGAGATCTCTATCTTTTCAAACATTCCCTCTTCTGCAACTAGAAAAAGACCTTTTAAGATTGTGACAGAATTTGAGACATGGAACTTTTAGGTTTGTTCTATTACTAACATCCTGAATTTTCTCCCCTTAAACACAGGAACATAAACTGTTTTTTTGGCTGGGAACAGAGTTAAGAACAGAGCAGGCTGGAGTGTTTCCTTTGGATAATCCTGTCTCTGTGCCAAGAGCCTACCTCTTTCTCTCACACCAAATGCAGTATGTTCAGAGTAGCTGTCTCGTGTAAAAGAAGAACAAGCTCTCGATCTTCTAATTTGCTTCCGGTGCACTTTACGAAAGTAGTACTTTTCTACATTTTGGGACTCAGTATTGCTTCCAAAAATTATTTATTGGCATGAGTTTGGGCAGAACACAGGAAAGAAAAATGACCTCTGCTTTTCAGTACTGCTAAGGGAGGCAGAGAGGGAGCAAGCAAGAGAGCAAGAGAGAGGCAGAGAGATTGCCTTCAAAAGTGCATTTCTAAGACGCAGCTGATCACACTGGCTAAGCCACCATCTGATGAGGGCACCTGAGAATTTTCCACTTTGTCTGAACGTGCAGTTCTTGTTAAACCCACACTCCCTCTTTTCTCCAGCAGTGTCCAGTCTTGAAAACAAACTGACAGATGTTCTCTTGGATCAGCTTGTGAGACTTGCAATGTCAGGAGTGCAAACAGACTCTAGTCATTCAGTTCAGGAAATGAAATGCAGACAATCTGATAAATAAACAGTGTTTATTACTCCATTTTAAAGTGTGCTTTGGATTTCTTTTCAAAATAGTCCTGCAAGGAACTGAGGATGAATATTAAACATGTGTTCCCAATTTAGAGACCTGAATGGCGAGGTCAGTATGGTCATTAACTTATGCAGTTTGTATAGTAAGGATACCAAAGACGTATTTCTGAACTCTAACCATTGTAAGTAAACAATAAAAACTAATTTTAATTATAGAAAAATTCTCTACAAAGAAACTTACAAAACTTACATCTCTGCGTATGAGTACACAGAGATGAGTTAAAATAACAGGATTTATGATAGTGTACAAATTATAATAGTGATTTAAACTAAGGAAGAGAGAGACTGATTTAAATTAGCTGATACATAATTACTCAGGTTAGATTGGGATAAGATAGAGCAGAAAATATTCCTTTACTGAAGCAATTCAGTGTGTTTTTAATGGTTATGGAACCATACTTTCTTTGCTAGCATAGAGAATCCCAGCAAAATATGATGTATTATTTAACTATTAACCCTGAGCACTGTAATGCCCTGTACTTTGTTGCCACAACTGCATACACTATGCAGAGCAGCAAAGGAGGAACCAGCATCTCTGGGTCTGATGAATACATGGCCAGGAAGAAGAAGTACAAACGAACTGGGGCCCTATATCTGTCCTAGGTGCACACTGGAAGATGCCAATGAGCAGTCACAATGTCAGATTAATGCCGAAAAAAAAAAAAAAGCCAGAAAAGACTTTTTTCCTGTCCTAAGGAAGGCAAGTAGAGAGTTTAGAATAAGACAATTGCCTTCTGTAGCCAACTCCTGGTGTTCTCTTCAGGGCAAGGGAACTATATGCTTCCTTGTCCTTCAGGGCTTGCATAAAACCACAATTTGGCCCTCAGGAGAGCAGACAGAGACCTACTGAGTCACTAATACAGTTTCCTGCACTGCTTGGAAGTTGTCTTAAGGGACTCCCATCCAGCACCTCCCAGTAAGCATCATTTTCACCAGAATTAGGTGATTCAGAACCCATGAAATGGTCAGTTTTCCAAAATGATGGAGAACTTTTACTGGATGAGTTGTCATTTGAATGGCTTTTAAGGCTACATTTGAATTTTTTATGCATTCAAATTCTAGTGAACAGAGTTCGGTAAGCAGTGGTAAGCAGTGAGTCCAGTTATTTATTATTCCCCAGCACAGCGGTCAATACCAGGTGTGACTGAATTTTCCTAACCTTAACTGGATTCAAACTGAAAATGAAAATATGAAAACCTCCATGAGATTATTTGCACTCATTCATGCTACCCTGCAAACTCCTCAGTCAGGGTTGCTCTGTCCATCTTCCTCCTACATTTCTTATATTTTATTTGAAATCTCCAAGTGTGACTACCAAAGACAATAACAACACCAATACAGCTATGAAACAGTCTGCAGCCTAACAGTGGATTCTCTCAGGATGTTAATTTTAATTTGAAACATTTTTCCCAAATTCTACCTTGTGACTAAAGTCATTGCAAATAATTAAAATTCTAATAGTATGTGTACACATACATATGGAGCTTCTTTCTAATCTGTTTTCATTATGAAGAAAAATGTTTAGCAATCGTACCTTCTTAAGTCCAAAATTTCAGTTTTCTCACCATAAGATACTTAATGTCTTCAGTTATTACATGTCTTCTTTATATATGGGTGGGACTGCAATTGTTTGGAGACTCCTGTCCTGGACTGACTGGTCCTACAAGAGAGGAGGCAAAAAACATGTGCTGTAGCCAAGAAGTCTGGATACTCCTTAGTGTATTCAAAAGGTGTTTAATTAGAAGACATTGTGTCACTTCTTCACGATGCTACAGCTGGTTGCCACTGCCCACCAAGGTGTAAACACCAACTTCCTCCTTATACCTGCTTCATAGGATGCTACTGGAGAAAGGCTGAGGTGCCATCTCACAGAGCTGCACAAGCTGCATCTCTCTTGCAGAGAAATTGGGAGATTGGAGGTGGAAGTTAAGGGTCTAAGATGTTACACCTGACAACTTATCAAGAGGCTTTGATGCTGCCTGCAGGTGAGCTATGTCAGAGGCCTTTCTCCTCAAGTCCAGGTAACGCTGCTGAATGTCCCTCCATACCTTAACTACTTCATGTGAAAACTGGGACTAGTAAGTAATTACCTCTGAGCAAACACAAGCATCCTCTCATGAGCATGGCTTGAAGGGGCAAGGTTTGCTTTGCACGTTTTGCTCTTTGCACGGAGTGCAACCATGACTAGTGAATGGAGTTCAACAGGCTCAAACTGAAAGTATTTATGAATGCTTCATAACAACAACGGATGAAGGAGAAAGAAAACACTCAACAGAATTAAGGCTTGGGCAGCACTTTCACTTACTAGATTAAGTAGAAACATGACAAAGCTGGATGAGGGTGGGGAGACCCCAGGTCCCCGTGGGCAGGATGGGACTGTCTCAGACGACAAGTTGCAGCTCTGCACGGGATGGAGCACTGCGGATACATCAAGCTCTCTGTGCCTCAGTTTTCACAGAATCACAGAATCTCAGAATGGCTGAGGTTGCAAGGGACCTCTAGAGATCACCTAGTCCAACCCCCCTGCTCCAGCAGGGACACCTAGAGCACCTGGCACAGGGTGGCATCCAGGCAGGTTTGGAAGATCTCCAGAGAAGGAGACTCCACAACCTCTCTGGGCAGCCTGTTTCAGGGCTCTGTCACCCTCACAGGAAAGAAGTTCTTCCTCATATAGAGATTAAACTTCCTATATTTCAACTTGCACCCATTACCCCTTGTCCTGTCACTGGCCACCATAGAGAAGAGTTTGGCCCCAAGAAGAGTTTGGCCATGGAGAAGAGTTTGGCCCCAGTTTTACCATCTGCAAACACAGACTCACAGTCCAAATATCACGTGGCATGACAGTACGAGAGGGACCTAGCTATCAGCCTTCAGTTGCGACTTGGTGACACTGCTAATGCATGAAAAGTGTTAGCAACACTGACAACATTAAGGGGTGAGGGAGGGCAAAATGGCTGCCAGCTTTCTGCCCCCAGCTCGCAGAGGTCACTGCATCGCTCTTCAAGAACACACTCTCTTATATATTCGTTTTCTTAATGCATCCTGTTCGCATGCTGCACTAGCCAGTTTCGCCCTCTGCCTTCCCTGCCTTGGGGTGGTGTTATCTGCACATGGGTGTCATCTCCCTGGCTTGAGCACTGCCCGTCCTCCCTCCCTCCGCGCCCGGCAGGCTGCCCGGGGGAGCGGGCCC